AAGAGCGTAAAAAATAATGACGAAATCACTTCGGTCAATTTTTTGGTCAGGTCAAAGGTCAGGTCACCAGAGATCATTGAAGGCAAAATTTCGCCGATTTCCAGGTCGAATGTCGAAAATTTCCAAGAAGCCAACGCATAACTCGGGAACCAATAGAGCTACAGCGCCGCGGAAAAGCGCATTCGATAGCCCTATTAACGCCCTTTCTGAGCAGTTCTCTCAGATTTGACCTAACGTCAACGGTTTTGCCTGCAGGGGGCAAAAACTGCAAAAATAGCCGATTTTTTCGAAAACAGTTTTTCTGCAATAACTTTTGACCCAAGCCTTGTACGAGCTTACTTTTACCGGCATCGTGTTCCTCTCGTCAAGACGCATCGAATGAACTATGTCTTGACCTTGAAAGGTCAACTTGAAAATTTGACCTCAGGTCAAGGTCATGACCTGACCGGAAAGGGTCATGTTGCATATCAGTCGATCCGTATCGTCGAGCTGAACACATCTAAGGCGTTTTCATCGCTCTAGCATGCCTCTATCAAAAGTTATTTGCGAAAAACTTTTAGCTACCATTCGTGACCTAAGATGACCTCAGGGCATAAACAAGGGTCACGGACACCATTTTCAAGTTCAGTGTGTCTAAACCACTTGTAATTCGGTGTTTGGGAGTGTTTATAATGTCTTTCATCCAAAAGAGGCGCATTTCAATTTTCTCCCATTGACTTATAATGGGGAGGTCGCAAAATTGACCTGACCTTAGGTCATCGATATCAAAATTCTGAGATATACATTTTGTACATGCTATTGCTCTTAGCAATCGCTGAAAGTTTCAAAGCGATCGGTCACTCGGTGTAGCTATGACAGACATTGAAAGTTTTTATGAGGTGAGGTCACTTCAAGTGACCTGGTGACCTGACCTTGAATGACCTTGGTCTGAAATTTTCACAACATGTGTAGAATTGATGTATGGTAAGGTGTACCAAAAACGGCGGCGCTCCGCGCCGCCGTTTTTGAGATATTTGCGAAAAACCACAGGGGGGGGTGTTCAAACACCCCCCCCCCCCCAGCAGGGCGCGGGTTAAACTGTAAGCCCGTATTGGTATTGTTTTTTTTTTTTTATTTGGCTGTCGAACATTATTTATGGTTTGAAATATGATTTTATGTAAAATAATTGATATGAAAAAGCCGTCTTATAACTTATAAGTTATGACCCCATTTCACCACACGCAAGTGGCAGAAATGACAATGATCAGCTGACGCATTTTTCTTGGCCGAAGTCAGAGCGCGCGGCCCGACGCACCACGCGAATTTGGAAATTCCGACCTCGACGAGCATCAGAAGCCACCTAACAGGCGTGTTCGAAACCGCAGGAGACATGGGTGTCGATTTGTATACCTTTGGGGGTGCTGCAGCACCCCCCATGCTCAAATGAGCACCCCCAATGGTTTTCCGGGCACCCCCAATGATTTTGTCCCTCAATAACTCCCACTAACTCTGCTTGAGGAAAATAATTGTTCTGCAGTCTTTCACTAATAAAAATAAAACAATTACGCAATTTACAAGGCATGAAATAAAGATGTAAAGCCAGAAAAGTTAGTTTTAAGAAGAAGAGCGAAAAAAGACGTTAAGTTGTAAAGACACTGGTGTGGGTCCGTCGTACACGGGTGTCGGACCCTTAGAGCTGCTGGCGCGTACCCTTTACAAGCCAGCAGGGGGCTCCAGAGACCGGCGACGGGCCCTCAGAGGCCGGCTAAGGGCCATCAGAGGCCGGTGGTACCTTCAGAAACCCTGTGGGGTCGTCTTTAGAGACCGGAACGGACTTAGACGCCGATGGAGCCCTCAGTCGCCGGTGTGGGGCCTTCAAATGTCACCGGTGGCAGGGTGGCCGTCACATGCGCACTTGTGGGGCCTTCAGAAGCTACGATGTTGGGCCCTCAGAGCCACCGATATAGGGCCTTAAGAGGCACTAGTGTGGGACCCTCAGATATGGCAATGTGGGGCCTTCGGACTGGAGGCGCCGGTGTGGGGGCTTCACAGTCGCCGGTGACGGCCCTCACAGGCGCCGTTGTGGGGGCTCTCAGAGACACTGGTTTAGGGCCATCACAGGCGCGCGTGGGGCCCTCAGAACTGCTGTTACGGAACGGACCCTTCATAGGCCGACAAGAAGATATCAAGAGGTCACCGGTGCCTTCAGGAGCCTTGTGTGGTTCTCAGAGACTGGCATGGTGCGCTCAGACGCCGCTGGGATCCTCCGAGTCACCTGTGTGGGGCCGTCAGGGTCGCTGGTAACTGACAAGGGCCCTCAGAACCGCCCATGTAGGGTTTTTAAAGGCATTGGTGTAGGGCCTCAGAGTTAGGTGTGTGGGGCCCTCAGAGACGCCGGTGTGGCGCTCAGGGGTGCCGGTGAGGGCCCTCACAGTCGCCGTTATAGGGGCCCTCAGAGAAATGGGTGTGGGGCCATTACAGGCGGGTGTGCAGCTCCTAGAGCTGGCCCCCTATAGGCCGGTTAAGCCCCCAGAGGCCGGCAAGTGGCCCTCAGAGGCTGGCTTGGGCCCCTATGAAGATCTTAATGTTGGTACTTGTGGGCCCATGAGGTGTTCTTACGAGCCTTGTGGGGCCCTTCTGAGTCCAAATATAGCCAACCTGGACCCTCAGCGGCCAATTGGCGCCGCAGTGCCCCTCAGGCCCGAATAACCCGATGGGCCCCTGAACCTAACGGGGGGGGGGGCATGAGCCTCACGGGCCCACCTGGCTACGCCACTGAGGAAAATCGTAAACCCATAAATATCGAAATGCGATCACCTGTCATTTTTTAACGATTATTGTGATCGTCTGATTAACGCCAGAGCCTCGTAGCTATACCGTTGCCTCCCGCGCAATGTCCGCCCCTGTGGACCGCAGGGGCTGCTGCACCGGTGCTAACCGCGGTCATCGGTTTCTGTCACCTTATTACAGAGGTGCTGGGGCTGCTGCCGAGCTGCCGGCAAATGTACGACTTTTTCGGAAAGATGTTTATGTAATGAGGTAGCCAAGTACTAGGACGAGCAGAATGATTTTGAAGAACGTTCAACCTTTGGGAAATATTAGTGGAAATCCCGGGATTATCAGTACCTTATGGGGATACCCAACCATGCCTTTTACGGTTGTGCCCATGGCAAAGCTGCAATCTTTCACCCGGTGCAGGGGTTGAGCACCCCCAACCATTTTGAGAAATCGACACCCCTGGCAGGAGATGATGATGAACGGGTTTATCGAAACTTGATTGGATGAGCATATCGGTAATAGCGATTTCAGTGTGTGCATTTATTGTTCATAGTGGTGTGAAATGTGGTTGGGGTACGACCGACAACCCGTCGGGGCGAATTTCGCACTGGGGTACTCAAAATTTGAAGAATTTAAGACGTTTCCATGAGTTTTGAAGGTATGGATAAGTTCTAAAAATCCGGTTCTCCTTATCTGGGCCGTTAACTCCATACGGTCCAAGAAAGCTGGCACACTACCTTTAACGTGTTTAACCACACCCCTTGAACCACACGGCTTGTAATATTAAAGCATAGTGCACGTGCCGTTTAAATGCCTGGATGTCTCGATTTAATCATGCAATGTAGCAGGTATGGGAAAATCCGATCTTGCACACCCGATACAGAAGCTCTGAAGTTATAGGGCACATTCAATCTGTCCTTCAGTGCTTTTCTTCGTTTGCCTTCAAACGCTATCACATATTTATAAAAAAAAAAAATATTGCCAAGCTTTACAGACATGAACAGGGGCGCGGGAACTACTTTCCGACTGGGGGGGGGGGGGGGGGGCACACCATAATAGAGATTAACCTAGGGTACCCCCAAATCTAGTTTTCTCACCGGTTTTAGGCCACTTATTTTTCACCCCTCGGCTTTTTCAACAAAAAAAAGAAAACATTTGCAAAAAAGTGTGGTATTCCGTCTCAAAGCTGTGGGGGCACCGCCCCCACGGCCCCAGAGTTGGGGGGGCAAGCTGCCCCCACTGCCCCCCGGCTCCCGCGCCTATGGACATGAAAATGTGCAGTCATGCAGCCATGCAAAGATGGCATGACACGACGTACCGTACACACGTCTTGAAGCTACCTGACTACAGTCTATCCGCGATGAGTCCCCCACGCCAGTAATGCCCCCAGTAGTGGCATCTCACTCTCGGGCCGCGTGCCATACGTTTCACGCAATTATCGAGGAATTCCAAATGGACCCGCCGAGCGCGGTCGGTGGATATTTGGTTTTATGATGTGTCGAGTGCTCGCGCCGGCCGCAGGCAGCCGACGCGACGGGCCGGCAACGGGTCGTAAATTTTGGCATGCCAACCCGGAGAGTCCCGGGACGCAGCCATGAAGATGGAGGATGGCTATTGGTCAATTTTCACCGCAGAAATCTGCGGGCGAAGTGTGCCAACGGCCACTAGCCTAGACGGGCATTGTCATATATCCAGTGTTACTCTACATCTACAAGAATCATCAAGTTTATGCGTCCCTTCACGGAGTTACAATGATGTCAGACCAGCAAAACTATTGGCATCACTGTACTTTTACATTCTGGGCGCTGTAAGCCTCCATACATGAATAAATCCGATCCAGTGTGGCATCATATTTCTTTATTGAGAGGATGATCCCAAAGCTTGCGTGATTGTGATTCGTGTAATGTTTTGGATTCCAGCCTACATAGTCCTACTGGATAAATCACTAGCGTTTTCCGAGTCCTGCTAAGCGGTCAATTGAGCCTTTTCATCCATTGACAGCCTTGGCGTCGCGATGTCCCTGCTCACCATACAGTTCCATTCCACGCCAAATTACCCCTGCTCATCAAATAGTTCTCTCCAGTCGTGTCCTCTGTTGCGCTCATCTGAGACGTTCCTCTAACGCACAACGCTGAGGTGTTCTCCATCCCTCCCGTCCGCAGTTGAGACCGATGCCCTCTGAAGGCCCTGCTCTGACCGTGACGTACCCCACTGACACGCTGTCCCTCCCTGCCTGTCCACAGGTGACCGACTGTTCTGCCCGGAGCCCTTCTCAGCCGTGCACCAGCCCGTCTCCGGCGACCTGACCTGCCCAGCGCCGTTCCCGCCGTGCTCAGTGGCGCCGTTCCCGGAGTGCTCGCCTCAGCTGGGCTCCGCCGGCGTACCGTTAGGCTCCCCGGCCTACCTGCGACCTGAGCTGCAGGACCAGCAGCTGAGGCACGCCGCGGCCGGGTACCAGTGTCAGTGGCCGCCGGCGGCGCTCTCCGCGGCCTCTGGATACAGGACCACAGTCGGCACTCCCTCGCCGGCCTCCTCAGTCTCGACCGGCGGCCCCGCGGCCGGCTGGGCTGACGGTGGCGCCGGCGGCGGCGGTGGTGGTAACTACTGGTGTGGTGACTCGCCGCCTACCGAGTGGGGCGCCACCGGTCCGGGCGGCCGGTGTGCGGTGAAGCTGGAACCGGCGTGTCTCCTGACGCCACCGCACGGTTCTCCGGCGGCCTGTGCTGGTCCACCAGCGCGGCTCACCCACCCGCACCCCTCGCCTGTGAGCGGAGCGCAGCTCTGGCCCACGGGCCCCGTACCAGCCTCCTCCTGCGGCCAGAGTTGGACGCCGGCCCCGCCGGATGGGCTCACCGGCTGGCCACCAATGGACCCGGGCGCTGCCGGTCCCCTAGATAACCCGCTGACCGAGTGTGCCATGGGTACAACTGTCGGCTACTTCACTCCACCGGGGCACCATCTGTCTATGGACGGGGCACCGCCCGCCAGTAGGTGTCTAGGTCACGGCGAAACCCGCCAGTAGCGGTCAGGGGGCCAGGTCAGCCGTCCCAGTGTACCGCCATCAAATGTGTCCAGGTCACGAGCGCCTTCCTGAGTGATCCAGCCCGCACGGAAGCGTCCGAGTGTCGCCGAGATACAGCCGTGTCAACGCCACCTTTCCCGAGTTAACGCCAGCGCCCCGCTGCCGTGATAGCAGCGAGTTAACGTTCATGGCTGAATATTGACTGAACGAACGTCCATGACAAGCTGCCGTGTCCGGTCGGTGCTGAGGTACCGTGTGCTGTCCGTGCCGGCCAGCCGTGCCGTTCTTTCCGTGCGGCCCGGCCCGTGTCACCAGCAGTGTGCGCGCTCACAGCTCACAGCTCACTGAGTCGGCTGCATCACAGCGCTGACTCCTCTAATTATCCGTGAGCTAGCAGTTATGAGTCAGGGCTCGATTAGCTCATAGCACTGGCTCCGCTAATGAGTCGTGAGCTAACAGTCATGAGTCAGGGCTCGGTTTGCTCACAGCGCTGGCTCCCTTATGAGTCTTGAGTTATTAACCATGAGTCAAAACTCGTTAGCTCACAACGCTGACCCCACTAATGAGTCGTGAGCTAGCGGCCATGCGTCAGGACTCGGCTAGCTCACATCGTGACTGGGCTTGCGTTTCACGGAGCTAAAACCGTAGCTCGTAGGGCTGATTGCTATCATGCAAGCTGTGCATTCGTGAATTGGGTATCGATTCTACTCGTAATAGTATTATTTTTTAACTGTCTACTGAGTATAGTTGGCGCTTTATCACGTGTGGGAACATTGTTGTAAACGTATAATCAGCGTCAACTAAGACCAGGTTGAAGCGTACTCGTACTTTTGAAATGTGTTCACTACATGAGGCTGCCTATGAAAACACAGGTGCGCTTGTAGCAGTCGGAAAGGACCCCTGGAAATTCCCAGTGCCTTTAAAAAGCGCATTATATGTCAGAAACTGCCAGCTGTAAACTACATTCTTAATTTGTGATCACAACTAATGTGCTTACGCCGTTGCCCGGTCACAATCACACACACACACGCACACACACCCAGAAAGGGACAAAGGGACAAAAGGCGTACTGAAGTAGGACGTCCGTTCACAGCGGCGGGCTCCCTGCTGCTGATTGGTTTTTGCACAGATTGTGTTACATGCCTGCTCCATGGTGGTTAATGGCTGCTTCATACTCTATATGTATGAGTTCTGTGCCTGTACCATTTTCCTTGGTCTATATGTCAGTGTTATGAGCTATGATCACATGTCCACAATGGTTAGGTACACCGACCCGGTTTCGCGTCCCTGATAGAATGACCGGCAGTTATTATCAGAACATGTGTGTGGCGAGGTGTATCTGTGGCTGACAGCCAGGTGTGGTTTCCTTTTAAAATATGCATTGTTTATCGCTCTTAGCAATGGCCATATTAGAGATGAAGATCCCCTTGTTCACTTTGTTCGTATTCCTAGGAGCATTTGTGAAATAAACTGATTTACTGTGATGATGCCTTCCATGCTAATTACCGTAGCTATACATCGTATTTAGCGTTCCTTGGTCATAGATGATCGCTTGGCACCAGCCAAGAGCCCTCTGATCAAAACGTATTTCGCTGGCGTACTGTAAATGTGTTTGTTCTAACTGCTGCTGCGATGATGGTAGCTGTGTCAAAATATACAGTGTGTGCTTTGAGGTGTACTCTCGCTGATTGAACAGAGACCGAATCTGTTTTCGTGCACTTCACCACTGTCAATAAATGTATGTGCACTGATGTCACAAATATATCGCCATGAAATGACGCCTTGTGTTTTAGGCTGTTTTACTGCTGCATACGTACTTGGGAGAAATATGTTATTTATTGTGACGCGATAACGAGTAGACGACACATTTTTGAGAGTAATAAAAAACGCGGATAATATTGCTAAATAAAATTTAACGATAACCAGAAAATGGGCCACTGACTAATGATACGTTGCCTCGTTTTCTTTAACACCTCGCTTGATTTTTTTCAACGTGCCCCGAACTAAAATCACATTTGACCCATTTGCTACTCTTTGTGAACTACGGCATAATTTGAGCACAACAGTCATGCACGGTAGGTTGCCTGTCAATAACAGGATCAGTAACCTAACCTTCCATGCGGTGGGGGGGGGGAAGGGCATTTTTTGCCCCCCCCCCCTTAGTTTTTTCGATATATCTCCAGAACCGCTGCGCCGATCGTCACCAAACTATCAGTACCCTCCCGTCAAAAGCTTTTGCACATTGTGACAAAAAATCCAAAGGTTTTGATATGTTGGCCACTAAAAACGTCAGAGTGTTACCCATTTACAAAACGTCAGGTAGGTACCCATATTATGCCATTTTCGAACAAACAAAAAAAAAAGTTTCGCAAGAAGACCTGTCAGGCCTACAGCCTTAGAGATACAGAAAACAGTTTTTGACATAAAAGGTGTAGAATTAACGGGGCTAAAAAACTACAATCTCGGATTTTTTAAATTATAAAAACCAAGAAAATATTTTTTTTTTAATATAATAGCCGAAAAATCCATTTTTTTTAAATTTCGAAAAAAAACTGAATATATGTGACAGTACCTACCCCTTCTATCCCCATACCAAATTTGAGATCGATACCTCTTTTTTGGCCAAGTTATAGCGAAAAAAAAAAACTTCAAAATTGATGACGTCAACTTTTCAATCTCTATTTTTAGCAATTCTAACCCTCGTAGCGCAAAACAAGGACAACCATTAGACTCCCCGTGACGAGGTGCATCGAATCGATAAGCACCCATTTTATGCAAAACTATCAACTTTGAAATTTGACCTTTTTTGACCTGACCTTGACCTGACCTCCACCAGAAAGTGATCTAAACCGTGATGGTCTTATAACCAGCACCATTGAGTTGGAAATGAAAAATGGCCATAAAACATGCATCGCACAATCTTAGTAAAGTTGGGTTCATGTGCTGACCCTTAGTGACCTGACCTGTGACCTGACCTGGTATTATCAGTGACCTCTAATAGCAACATATGCACTAAGCAACTGACGTCTTATCGCTGATTTTCGACAAAATTCGTGTTACTCGATGTTATAGCGCATTCCCTAGTGAACGGTGAAACATTTTATCTTTGACCTGACCTGTGACGTCATCGGTGACTCCGACGTCAATGAAATTTAGTTTCCTTCGACAAATTTGACAGGGCTATCGAACGCCGTTTGAATTTTACGGATCCGTCTAGTAGTTTCGGAGATACAGGGAGGGCAAAAATGCCCCCCCCTCACCACGCGGAAGGTGGCCGGGAGGCCCACCGCCTGCCGGGCGAAAGATAAACAGTGGCGAAATTGACACGACAGAACCAAACATTGAAGTACAGCTTTAAAGGGAAGTAGTTGATATATCACGAGTAGCTAGGTCGTCAAAAACGATTCGATTTCTGCTGATGACGCAACAGCTCGCTAGTCGCTTTGCAGTGCTGAAAATGGTGAGATCCAGTGGTTCTAAGAACCTGTCATCTTCGTGAGTTCGGAGTGTACAGATTGAGACACTGTTGTGTGCTGTTCTGCGGACGCAGAGGGCCGAAGACCGGACGCAGAGCGCCCCTTCGGCGCGGACGCTCGATGCAGAGGAGCCTTGAAGCGCGGACATTCGCAGGAGCCACATGTGGCGCGAACGCTCACAAGAGACGCTCACGGACTCGCGTCGTGCGGACGCTCACTCGCGGATGTAGAGGACCACAGTGGCGCGCGGCCTGTTGAGCGGCCAGAGCAGATCGCCGCCTGTGGTCACCACCGACCGCCAGGTCAAGTACGAGGTGCGCGAGTTGATCGTTGTGTAGAGCTCCGATCGGGCCGGGTCGTTAATAAGGTACGGGAACGCCAGCCAGCCGTCGTCGTACGCCAGAGTCGGATTGACCTGGAACTGACCGCCGCTCAGAGGAACCAGCTCGGTGCCGATCAGAGTCAGCGACCGGGAGGCGGTCAGCTTCTGCACCACGGCTGGAACGGGACAGCGGCGTCACAGTACAGGCAGGAGTCAGAAGTCGGTAACGGGTCAAAGGGGCAGCACACTACAGACAGAAGTCTGTAACGGACCAGGAGGCGTCACAATACAAATAGGGGCCTGTAACGGGACAGAGGGATGGTGGTCAAACTACAGATTTATCTGTGTTTACTTTACACTCATGCTACAATGCCTACATATTACTCCACATATAATTCACAGACCCACTGTCCGAGTGCCGATTCTAGCTAATTGTAGTGCGTTTCTTACTTGGCTCTCCTTGGTACTCGTGGGCGATCATGAACACTTCGTAGGTGCTGCCTGACATCGAGTCCCTGATCAGGTCAGCGTACCTGCGCGGAACAAGAGGCGAAGTGAGATCACCGCTGGTCAGTATTTTCGAAACATTTCCTCTGTGTTTTTTAAACATTGAAATAAATCGATAGGGTGCTAAGCGCAAGGAGCGAAAAGTGAAAAAGGGATGAAATAACGTTAATGATTTCAAGAAACTGCAATTTTGTCTTTTGCTCTACGTATACCTATTAGTTAGTACTATATCGTGACGTTACCACTTTTCTCTCTACACAGAAGTACATGGAAATTAGGAGTACTCTACCAGAGAAGGTTTACCAGAACTACCGTTGGTTTTCGAAACATTATAGCTGCTCTATTAGATTGCAGTATGAGTTGGTTCATCAAAACGCGTCAAATGTGCAGGGCTTGATCTTTGTGATCGCTGAGGGCCAGACCTTTGTGATCGCACCTTTGACTGGACCAAATACAGTGCTTTCTTATGTGTATTTCTTCTTTCGACCGCCCCGCATTGCTTGTCACTGCTTGTCACTTGGTCGGGGACCAGTGGGAGCTAACCGATAAAAACGCCATTTTCCACATTGATTTGCTATATTCGGACCACCAGAGCGCAGATCCCAGCAGAAATGCTTTTGTGACTGTCAGTCAAGGTATTAGCTGCCATAAAGCCTCCCAGCTGCGGTAGATGCGTCTCATACCTGACACGGTAAGTCGCAGGTGCATCTTGGCCGGAGCTGGGCTGGTGATCCGTCGCAGAGACGTGGCAGTGAACGTCGGCTGGCCTCCCGGGAGCCAGCTCCCGTCTGTGTACGACAGGACAGTGAAGTTACGCCGTCTCAGGAGCGCCCGGCGGGAGTCTCAGCAGCGTCCGACGGTGCTGGCCCCCATCATGCATCTGAGCGCTCCGGCTGAAAACGTATCTGCAGCGGTGGACCTGACCTCGTTCCAGCCAGGTGAGCAGGGTGACCCACTGGATCCTTCCATGCAGCTGCTTTGCGTGGCTCAGATAGTGATCTCTGCCGTTCCGTCACTATTTCTAGTTCGTGACATCAGACGCTCACAGGGTCCTGGAGCTCTTGATGAGCTGCTTCTTCTGAGGGCTTTCATCAACGGCATATGCTGGCCCATGACGAACGCCTTCAGCCTGCTGGTGGACAGCCTGCGAGGGATGCTACCGGCGACGTGGCTGCGCCCGGTCTGTGCCATCCACGGGTTGGTGATAGTGAACGGGATCGGTCTGGTAACCGCCTCGAACAGCCTCCTCAGTCTGTGTCGTCTGCTGCAGCTGACGGTCGCCCGTCGCCCGGCCGTGGCCTGGCGCATCACGCAGCGGCTCCTCGCCTGGCAGAACCGGGTGGCTATGCTCCTCCTGGCTGGCCTGTTCTCGTCCCTCTTCTTTGCCGACATGCTACCAGGGGCCTACACATTCTGGTGCACAGACACCTTGTCCTCGGAGCTGAAGGTCTGGCCCAACATACCCCTCACCATCAACAGCGCCATGCACTTGTTGACGTTCTTCTGCAGCCTGGTCCTGTTGCAGGTCAGTAGCGGGACACCGGACACCGGTCGGCCTCGCAACTACCTGCCGGCGTACAGCTGGGCGCAGCTCTGTCTCGTCACGGTCATCGCCAAGACCGTGCTGGTGCCGTTCAACACCAGCAACCTGAGTCTGAAGCAGAAGTACCTCGGCAATGTGGCGCTCTTCACCGTCATGTCGGGGCTGCTGGACCCGTGCCTGCAGATGCTGATGGCCAGACGCTGGCGACAACACATCAGGAGGCGGCGCCTGCAGATCGCCCAACTGCGAGACACACCCCAGCGCGGCTTCGTCATCCCCGTCATCAGGCTTGAGTTGATCTGAGGTGGTGACTGTTGAGCCTGTGTAAGAACTCGGAAGACATCGCCTAGCCTGAGAGCAGGTTGGAGCACTCGGCTGCGTCCCTCTTTGTGGCGATAAACTAAACCGCAGAAGCGTGTTTAAGAGCAAGAAGTAAACTTCTGCAACGGGTTGTCGAAATCCTGACTTGATAAACACACTTTCGCAAACTTTCTGAAGTGATCGAGATGAATCTATTGAGTGCAGGCTGAGACTGGCTTAGTTGTAAGACAAACTAGTGCTACAGTAATGGTCGCTACGGCTACCCTTGATGGTGCACGGACTAGAGTGGACCGAGGAAACAGCTTATTGTTCATCTTTGGCTCTAAAGTCACGAAGTGCAGCACACGCGACGTGTTGTGTGGACTGTGGACTCTGGAGGGTCAAAAATGATGCGATAATGTAACGAGTGTACCTATCTACTGAATAGACTACATGTAAGAAAATAAGAATGTTTCGTTGTGAAAAGAGCTACGTACCTACTGTTTCGTAGTAAGTTTCAGCTTCGATAGAAACTGTTGTTTACATTATAGGAATACCTGATTTATCAAAGAAGCATACGTTATTTTCTAGCAAAACATTGAATACGTTCATTATATTCGTATTTTGTACTTGTATTTGTAGATACGATCTCTATTGTATGGCTTTTCAGACCGCGAAATATATTTGTTGTAAAAGATATTTGTATATACTGGTCAAGCTTGGTGCATTCGCCACATAACCCGGCATGAAAAAGCCTTTACCGATGCCCACTAGCAAAAACACTTCGTCATACTAACGTTACTTTTAGCGCCGCAATGCTTTTGAGGATTTGTCAACACAGTGCCGTCCCAAAGCCAATGGTTATCAACATAGGCCAGGGCTAAAACGGCAACCAAAACTGTTCAGCTGGATGGATGCTGGCCGCTATTTTTCCAGGTCCAGGACTGGACTGAGGTCTTTATGCCTGGTGATGGAGTGGTTAGCGGGTTACCTGATGACCAAGTAGTTGTTTGGGTTCTTGATAAGAGAGTACTCGGTACCTTATGATCGAGTAGTAAATTTATTACATGGTAAGAGAGCACTTATTGCTTGAGGATGGAGTAGGTAGTATCAAGTAGTATGTAACCGGATCACCTGAGGATTGAGTAGTTAACCCGCGCATGACTGGGGGGAGGGGCCTTACAGAGCCCCCCTCCCGTTTTTCAGCAATATCTTCTAAACAGTTTGACGGATCAACACGAAACTTGCGGTACCTTCAAAGGCATCACTTTGACACCTTGTTTCAAAATTTCAACTTTCTAGCTACCATGGTTTGACCGGAAATGACGTCAGAGTGACGTCATGTCGGCCGATTTTCATGCAAAATACTGAATTACGGCAAACGCTCTCAAGAGCTCAGTTTTAAAGCTAGATCCATTTTCTTTGCATGAGTGGACTACAAATACACGTAGCTATCAAACTGACATCTGGAATTTTCGATATTTTGCAATTTTTGAAAAATATGTATTTACAATTACAAAAATATATTTTTTGATTTTTTCAAAAAGTTTTTGACTTTTCGCAAAAACCGGAATATAGGGATAGAACACTTACTGATGAACTACATTTGCAAGATTTAGCCCAATATCTTCAAAAATAGCCAAGTTATTCGCATTATTGTCAAAATTTTACAATTCTATGTTTTTTTTTCAAATCCGTTTTTCAGTACGTTTTTGACGTCGTACAGCAATATAAATGGCACCATCGTGTTCCTGAGCTCAAACTGCATCTGATAGGCACCTTTTTTGTTGAAAAATTTCATTTTCAAAATTTGACCTTTTCTGACCTGAAAGTGACCTGACTTCTGGTAAACTCAGCTGACATTGACCTCAAATGACACAGACGACACTATTTTCGAAATCTATGAGTAAAATGGACCATAAAACATGCGTCACGTGACCGATACATGATATACAGTTTTCGTGACCTAGGATTACCTGGCCTTGACCTTATAAATTCGAAGTAAAAGTTCGGTACCCTCAGGGTATCTAAGGCATCCGTCAAGGAGTGCGTAAACCAAAAATGAGCCTGATCGGACCGGCCGTCCGGTGGTCAGAGCCTAAATTGTGAACTAGCAAAAATGTCGATAATTTTTAATTTGACCTGACCTGTGACGTCATCGGTGACCTCGAGGTCAATGAAAATAGGTTTCGCTCGACAGTTTTTCCAGGGCTATCAGACGCCATTTGAATTTTGACGATCGGCCCAGTAGTTTCGGAGATAGGAGGGGGGCTCTGTAGAGCCCCCCCCCCCCCCAGTCACTCGCGTTATGGAAAATACCCCAGTCATGCGCGGGTTAAAGGTAGTGTGCCAGCTTTCCTGGACCGTATGGAGTTAATGGCCCAGATAAGGAGAACCGGATTTTTAGAACTTATCCATACCTTCAAAACTCATGGAAACGTCTTAAATTCTTCAAATTTTGAGTACCCCAGTGCGAAATTCGCCCCGACGGGTTGTCGGTCGTACCCCAACCACATTTACACCACTATGAACAATAAATGCACACACTGAAATCGCTATTACCGATATGCTCATCCAATCAAGCTTCGATAAACCCGTTCATCATCATCTCCTGCGGTTTCGAACACGCCTGTTAGGTGGTGCGGTAGACCGCGCCCAAAGCCAGGGCCCCGGTAACGTGAGGGGCATTCCACGTCAAATCGAACAAAAATCGGCTGTTTTGCACCTTACCATCAGCGATTTCATTATAAATTTGTGAGCGAGTTCTTGTGTCGCCCCGGACATTACATTGATGTTTTTTGCACATTCTGACCACAGGTCTTCTAAATATAGGGCATCAATTTTTTTACAAAATGTTGTATCTTTATATTTTTGAACGACCATAACTTTGGTTGTACTTGTTTGATTTGAATGAAATAAACCTTAATGTTTAGGTAATTTCTTAAGCATTTGTTTAGAATTACATCGACTTAAATATATGACCTTGAAATTTGCTTAACTCTGTTCTTAAGCACAAAAATTGAAATAGCAAAAAACACGCCACCTTCGATTTGGCTCATTTTCATATATTTTATTGCCTACCATATTCTTAACAACCTGTGAAAAAATTAGAGTGGGCCATTCATAAGTTTTGAAGAAAATGGCACATATGCAAACGTATGTTATCACGCGCAGTGGAGGGGGAAGAGTGAATTTCGCCCCACCCCTCCTGTTTTTCGCCAATATCTCATAATATTGATGCGAAATTACTTATGGCTACCTGTCCAGAATTGAATTGCACATCTCATCGTGCAAGCAATAAGAAAATCGGTTCACAACTGTTCTAGTAATAGCGGTGTAAAGTGAACATCCTGTCGCCGCGGCGACGCGGCGACTCGGCAGCCGGCGCCGACCGCTACGCGCCGCCTGAATTGTAGACTGTGCCGGGACGGAACGGAACGGTTCCGTCTTTACATCGCGCTCCTTACCGCTGATTACGTTCGATTCGCGTCAAATTTTGTGAGAAGACTAAGAAATGTACAGGCAATCTTATGGTGAAAGAATTCTGAAAATAGGTTGGTAAACAATTGAAATATGAACGTGTAAACATAAAATTGTGACTGCTGCGTTTCCCGCGTCGGCCGATCCCGCCTCAGCCGGCGACATGTTACTCTTAGCAGGACTCTAACTGCCATATTTATTTATTATCGGATTAACTAGAAATTCCCCATACATACTCAAAAATGTATGTTCTTTCGTATAGTGAAGATCAAAAGACGTGAAGATATCGTTGCGTGATAATGTTTTCGTTGAATCTATTTCATGATGCATTTCCACACGGCTCAAAATTCACCGCAAAATACCGTTTGCCTGAGACACTTTTACAATGGAACGTGAATGCTTGACTACGATGACTATGCATTTCCATTCTCGCAGAGTTTGGGATATCACTAATCAGCAATCATTCATTTCAGAAAGTGTACACAAGCAAGCATGTCTTGACTCTGTCTTTCAAGGTCACGCGCGGTTGCGTGATGTTGATGCATGAAAACGGCGTTTGCCGCGAAAGTTATGAATGGCCCACTCCATTTTTTTTTCACAGATGGTTAGGAACATTGTGACGGACATAATATGTAAAAATTACTCAAATCGAAGGTGGCGTGTTTTTTCCTATTTAAATTTTTCTGTTTTAATTCAAGGTCAAATGCATTTCAAGGTCACTTCAATTTAATTTTATAATTAAAAATCAAAGCCTTATCAATTGCCTACAAGACCCTGTTAATATCATTTTGATACCAGAAAAGGAACCAGAGTTATAAGCATTTAAAAAAAAAAGATGTGTGGCATTTTTGGCTATATTCGATGACCTATATCTCGGCGATACGTTATCAAATTTCGAAAATTTTACACGTAACTCAGTTTTGAACCATGCCCAGTCTGCCTACAAATTTTCAGAAAAATCGAAGGGGATGACGGATTTCGGTGTTTGATTTGACGTGGAATGCCCCGTGAGGTAGCCGAGTCGGGGCAGCGTGCGCTGACCCAAGCCGGGGCCGCGCGTCCTCCCGGTGTCATGTGATAGCCCGGGGCTGCCCGCGGGAATGCGGTAGACCGCGCCCAAAGCTGCGGCCCCGGCTTGGGTCAGCGCACGCTGCCCCGACTCGGCTACCTCACGTTACCGGGGCCCTGGCTTTGGGCGCGGCTTCTGCTCATACTTTGTGGTGCGGTGGTGGTGCGTCGGGCCGCGCGCTCTGACTTCGGCCAAGAAAAATGCGTCAGCTGATCATTGTCATTTCTGCCACTTGCGTGTGGTGAAATGGGGTCATAACTTAAGAGACGGCTTTTTCATATCAATTATTTTACATAAAATCATATTTCAAACCATAAATAATGTTCGACAGCCAAATAAAAGAAACAATACCAATGCAGGCTTACCGTTTAAGGCTCGACATTGTGTTGTCTACGATTAGACAGCTGATAACTCATTCCCGTACGTCGTAACTCTATAATGACCTTTGCTTATTGTCACATGTGCGCCGCATTCGCGATTGTTGCCGACGCCTGTTTGCAGGTGAGCCCACTACAGTTGTTATACAATATACATATCGAAAAACCGATAAACTTTTAGGCGAAAAAGGCACTATTCCAGGCCCATTTTTTATTTTTTTGCGATATTAGGTAAAAACAGAAGCTTCTTATCCTAGGAAAAATAAAATGGGAAATCTTTCAAAGGTGGCACACTACCTTTAATGCCTGACGATAAAGCAGTTACTTTGGTCTTTGCTTACCTGACGATGGGGTAGACATTACCTGATGATAGGGTATGATAGGGTATGATAGGGTAGATCAGTTTACCTTAGAATTGGATAGCTATTATACCTGATAACAGTGCAGTTGCTTTGGTTACCTGAGGATGGAGACGGGGTAGTCGGTGTATTACTTGGGGATGGAGTCGTTACTTACCTGAGAATGGAGTAGTCGATGGCCTCGCTGGGGTAGCCGTCCCGCGGGTGCAACTTGTAGAGGACGTTGTCGGCCGACCAGGCCACGCCGTCGGTGGGTACGTTATGCGAGGCCAGCAGCAGCGTGGCGCCGCTGTACTGGCCCTGCATGCGGCAGTAGAGCCTGTGCTCCTGGCCGTCCAGGTAGCCAAAGTAGCGGTGGTCAGGCAGTGCGCCGTTCCGCTCCCAGGCTCGCCGGCAGGTGACCGTCGGGTCGGAGGTGCAGATGCGGCCGCGACACGCGTCTCCCGGCGTCACGCAGTCGCTGTCCGAGCGACAGAACTCGTCACTCCCGGAGCTGGAGGGCATGAAGAAGAACTGGGTGACCTGGCTGCCGGCCGGCTGCCGCTGGAGCTCCCCGTAGCCGCCCACACGGTTGTACAGGGTGCACTCGCCCGTGTCAGGGCGGAAGCTGAAGCTCCTGCAGGCGGTGTCCTGGTGGCACAGGCCGCAGCAGTTGCAGGACGACGCCGGGCTGGCCAGCGTGCTGGCACCGATCACCAGCGAGGAGTCGAGGCCACCGTAATACTCCGGGATGTCTAGGCAAGCTCTGGCCACCCCAAACATGTAGCCGATGATCCAAACGCAAACGAATAACTTCATTTCCTTGCTGATCCCTGAACGCGTTTTCTGCAAATAATAAATTGCGTTATGACAATAGGTACAGTCAAAAGAAGATATCTTTTACATATGGCGCAATATATCAGTGAATTGTCAATGCCTTCCCAACCTGTTGGTCAGATTTTCAGCATTCAAATGGCATTTGATAGCCCTGAAAAACTTCTAGTGAGCCCCAATTTTTCTTCAACTTTGAGGTCACTGATGACGTCACAGGTCAGATCTAAGTGAAAGTTATTAACCCGCGCACCGACGGGGGTCTGCGCCAACTAAGAACCAACGGGGGGGGGGGGGCGGATGACCGCCCCTCCCCCCTGAGATCTCGAGAACGAAGCAAGATATCGACAAGCGGTAAACGGCATGGGATATGCACGGACAAGGTCTACAATTTTCACAAAGGTCATTTTCAGGTCAGGTCAAAGATGACGTCACAGAGGTAAAAAAGTCAAAATGGCGGCGCTAGATATGGAGAGAGTTTTTCTCGAATAACTTTCGAACTAGTCAAGATAGGAACAAACTAAGTGCATCATCGTGATCCTCTCGTCAATCAGCATCGAATGATATACATGCTGACCTCGAAAGGTCAAGGTCAAAGGTTGACCTCAGGTCACGTGACCTCGAGGTCATCATGTATATCATTCGATGCGCCTTGACGAGCTGAACACAATGAGACCATCCGCGCGCCTGTATCTTGTTCCTGTACGGAGTTATTGGCAAAAAACCTTTGGTGACCTTTGATGACGTCACATGACCTTACAGCTGTCTAACAGCAAAATAGACCCCAATGTAGTGAAGGTTGATCGTATATAAGGTCATGTATGGTTTATGGGGTCATTCCGACCCGTTTTAGTGGTAAAAACAGGGAGTTGATTTTTCCCCAATGGACTTATAATGGAGAGGTCGAGAAATTGATCTGACCTTAACCCTATTCCTGGCGGGCTCCGCCGGGACAAGAAACTTGCGGGGGGGGGCCGATTCGGCCCCCCCTTCAGATCTCAAAAACTACAAATCGCAGCGACAAACGGTAAACGGCATCGGATACGCACGGTCAAGATCTACAATTTTTACTAAGGTCATTTTCAGGTCAGGTCAAAGATGACGTCACAGGGGTCGAAAAAGTCAAAATGGCGGCGCTAGATATGGAGAGTTTTTCTCGAATAACTTTCGAATTAGTCAAGATAGGAACAAACTAAGGGCATCATCGTGATCTTCTCGTCAATCCGCATCGAATGATATATATGTTGACCTCGAAAGGTCAAGGTCAAAGGCTGACCTCAGGTCACGTGACCTCGAGGTCATCATGTATATCATTCGATGCGTCTTGACGAGCTGAACACAATGAGACCATCCACGCGTCTGTATCTTGTTCCTGTACGGAGTTATTGGCCAAAAACCTTTGGTGACCTTTGATGACGTCACATGACCTCACAGCTGCCCAACAGCAAAACAGACCTCAAGGTAGTGAAGGTTGATCGTATATGAAGTCATGCATGGTATATGGGGCCATTCCGACCCGTTTTAGTGGTAAAAACAGGGAGTTGATTTTTCCCCCATTGACTTATAATGGGGAGGTCGCGAAACTGACCTGACCTTAGGTCACCGATATCAAAATTCCGAGATATACAACTTGCACATACTGGTACCCTAACTAAAGCCTGAAGAGAAGACATTGATCGGTCAAAAACTCTAGCTCTGGCGTGATTGCAAACTTTTCTGAGGTAGGGTCACCAAACCGCCTCTGGTGACCTGACCTGAGGTCAGATCAACTCAAAATTTTCAGACATGTTGCGTAGAAGCCTTTTAGGAAAAGTCAGAAAATTTGAGCTTCCTAGCTCAACGCGTTTGGGAGAAATAACCAAAAAACCTCAAGGGGGGCTCCTGAGGCCCCTCCCGCCAGGAATAGGGTTAAGTCATCGATATCAAAATTCCGAGATAAAAAAAATTGTAGCTACTAATGACCTTATAACATCCTGCGACTTTCAAAGGCCTCCGACATCTACTGTAGCTCTGGCACGGTGACAAAGTTGCAAAAAAGTGACTTGAGGTTGGGTCATTCAAAGTGATCTGACCTTAAAAGTTAGGAGGTTTACACTTGCACACCATGTGTAAAATTGATGAGAGAATTGTCTTACAAAGTTTCGCGGCGCTACGCGCCGCGGTTTTCCCGCTATCTACGAAAAACCTCAGCGGGGGGGGGGGCGGATATCCGCCCCCGTCGGTACGCAGGTTAATGTTTAGGCATGATCGCACTCCGGGCTCTGGCTGCCTCAAGTCACATCAAGCTCATATTTGGTTTACACTCCTTTAACCCTCGCCCATGTAGGGGGGGTGGTGCAACCCCCCTGAGGTTTTTCGGAAATAGCGCAAAAACGGCGGCGCGCAGCGCCGCCAAATTTTGGGTACCTTATGGGGCAAACCTTGCGCATCTTTTGATAAAAAAAATTTGACCGGGTCATGTCAGGTCACGGAGTTATGACGTCACAAAGGGAACAGCCTCCGGCCGGATTTTCACAAACTGAGTGCCAACGCCCGAGGTTTCCTGCCGGTGGTACGGTCATCGGTTGATGGATCGTGATGAAACTTCCCATGCATGTTGGGGCAAGTATTGGCTATCATATGGTATAAGAAACTTGACCGGGTCAGGTCAGGTCACGGAGCTATGACGTCACAAGAGGAACAGCGTCCGGTACTATTTTTGAAAAGCGCCCGAACCACTATTTTGCTAATTCTTGTCACCTCAATGGGAATATGCAGCAATATTAGCTTCTATAGGGAGCAAATGGACCTCCGAAATCCAAAAATGCAATCAGATTTCAAAAATTTAAATTTTGATTTTTGAATTTCTGCCGCCGACTGTGACCTTGCCGACTTCCGGCGCTCCCAACGCGCCATTTTTAGAGCTAGGGAAACGAAATACATACCAAACGATAGAGAATTGATCAAGGAACACGATAGTGAAGGTTTCAAGTCGATATCTCCCACCGTTTTGCCGCAATCGCCGCGGAAAGTTGAAAAAAAAGTCTATTTTTCCGAAAATTTGACCTTTGACCGGTCAAAAGTAGGTCAAATGTTGACCTAGGACCAAAAAATATACCACCAATCGCGAGATCTCGGCGAGAGCAATCCGTTGGTCTTTTCCGCTAAGCTCTACGACGCTCCGTTTTCAAACGCCAAGGGGGGGGGGGGGGTCGCACCAACCCCCCCCCCCCCCTGCATGGGCGAAGGTGGCAGATCGCCGTTTACGGGCGAGGGTTAACCCTCGACGGCACAGGCCATTTTGAGTCCTTCGACGGCACAAGGGGGGGTCGACCCCCCTCGCGTTTGACCCCTGATGGAGCTAGAGCTTCGCGGAAAAAACGAGCGTGTTGCCCGTCAAGAGAAAAAGCCATTGATACCCAATTTTAAGGTCCTAGGTCAACGGTTGACCTTCCAGGTCAGGTAAATGACCCGAAAATCGGAAATATCGGGACCTGTTAGAAAGTCGTAGAGTGTGGCTAATATAGGGTTTTCCGGGGTGCTGATCATGAATATCGTGTTAGTTCTGATCACAGATGATGTCGTTAAGCGTTTAGACCAGGTTGGGTCAGGTCAGGTCAGGTCAACCGGTAGGGGTCGTGACGGGTATTCGTAGTACCTGTCATCCGCCTCTGACAGCTTCGTAACATGTTACCAAGGCACCAAAACTACTTCGTAAATGTTCAAATGGCTGCTAAATTCGAATTCAGCTCCAAAAACTAGCCTAGAAAAATGTAAAACTCGAAAAAGTGAACCGAGGTGACCAAAGGTCAATGACCTGACCTGACCTTCAGGTGACCTTGATACCCACCCTAATGTATGGGAGCAACATCAAATCACATGTTTGAACGTTTGAAACCACGAAAAGCTTGCAAATGCGCGGCTAATGCGAGCCGACATATACGCCGACTCCCGATTCCGGCCAAAGATGGTCTCGAAAAAGAGGTCACAGGTCAAAGGTCATTTGGGTCAGGGTCATGAAATTTTCAGGGTAGGTGTATAATTGATCAATGCGAGGGTACTGTAAGATTCGTCGCGATCGGCCGCTTTTTACGCGAGTTATTGGCGAAAAACCCTAGGGGGGTTGCATCAACCCCCCCCTAAGGTTTACTCTGTGCCGGCGAGGGTTAACTTGACCTGGTGACCTGACCTGACATCACCTGGGGTAAAAAATTCACACATTGTCCAAAATTGATGTACAAAAAGCTACTCAAAGCGGCGACGCGCCGCGGTTTTTTAATTACACGCAAAAAAACGCGACAGGGTGGTAACATATGCCCCCCCCCCCCCCCACTGGGGCGAAGGTAATAAAAGATTACTTTGAGATTGAGATACATGTAGTATCTCATTTGCCTCGGCTTAGCAAGTGGAACACAATGACACCATTTTTGAAGTTCTATCTGTACCGTGTTCCAAGTCATTAGCAAAAAACGTTGATTGACCCCAGCTGCTTTCAGTCGAAATAGTCGCTAAAGGCTGAAACAGACTCTTGCCGCAGCCAGGAAATCGCATTCGATAACCTTTTCCGATACATTAAATCATGCTCGCTCCAATCGTATGCGGGAGGTGCGTGCGATTGATGCGAACGTCATTTAGTGTAGGCATCTGAATAGGCTCTCGCATGCGATTTCCTGACTGCGGAAAGACGGTCTGTGTCAGCCCTAAGGCTGGTCTTTGCTCTCTGACATGGTCATGCACTGTTTGTTTCCTGTTTGTTTGACCTGAGATGACTGGACCTGAACTCATTACAGGGCATAGGTACCAACACCTAGGGTCTTGGCGCCACCCTTTCCACGCTATGATCACGGAAAATGTTAGGGGTCGCATCAACCCCTCCTTCTCTTACGTAAGCATGTGACAAAAAACTAAGCTGGCATTTTCAATATTTAGGATACGGTAGGCTACATATAATGACACGGTCTCCTACCTGTCTCCTAGCTGGCCGACGCCTGAATGTGCTCGGTCGCCAAAGTCCTCGGTTTTTATGTGTGCGT